ACATTGTTATTTTTCATACAGCCGCAAAAAGTAGAAAATTAAATTTATTGGAAGCCATGGGGATTAACAAAATGAGACATTCAAATGTATTGTTTAACGATCAAATAGATTTAAATACCTCTCCTTTATTGAACTTAAATTCTCACAACATTAATTAAGGTTTTATGGTCATTTTTCGGCATATATAGTAGCAGGTAGTTTATAAATATTACATTTGATAACAACACCGTGTTGTCGAAACAATTGTCATGTCAAAATATATAATTTTGTTAAAATCTGAACTTTTACTTATTATTTATTTTGATAAATGGATTTTCATCAAGTAAAAGCCACCTCAGTTCAATTGCAGATTTTGATTTTAATTGAAAAGCTTGTCCCATTTTTAAAAATTTATCAAAGATTGTGAAGTATTTTTGTTCGTCAAATTTAAAAATGTCTCTAAGCAAAATTTGAAAATGTTTATTAGGTGTCTCGGTATCTTGCTATTTTCATCGTTGGCCGGCAATACTTTCTACGTAAATTGTTTCATTAATATCTAGATGGTTGCATTTTCTTTCGTGTTGGAATTTTATAATCATAAATTGTTGGTCTTTTTCTTTAACTGTGTTTACCATTTACTACACTTAATTCATTTTAATCCTTTTACATAAAAGAATGTTCTGTAGATATTTGAAAAATCTAAATAGTGAGAGTCGTCTTGGAAGTAAAGGTGAAATGTACGATCTCTAGATGTATAGTCTCTTAAAAATTAAAATGTTAAGTATTTTGGGTTTTTAATTTCTAAAATTTTTAATTTTCCAAAGTCATTTTTAGTTATATCAAATTTTTTATGAATGTTAGGAAAAATTATTATTTGGTATGGTTTATTTTAATAATTTCATCTAATATGGGTATATAATTATTTACTGCATCAGAATTACTATCGGAATGTAGTATTATTTGGCTATCAGGAGGGTTAGTATTGGTTAGTTAGAGATCATTATTTGGGATATTTTCGCTAGTAAAATGCGCGAAGCATACGCCACTGATTTATCATAAGGCAACACTGCTCCTCTAGCAACATTACTTGCGTCGGTAGTTAATATAAAGGTTTTTCAAAAACCAGATATTGTAGTTATTAGTAATTCCTTGCACGTTTGAAAAGACTGTAGGAAATGAATGTAAGTATAACTTTAGCGTTTTTCTTTAAACATGCTGTTAGGGGTTTAGTAACATTTGCATTAACAAATGGCATTCTTTTAAATTCGTTATGCCCACCTTGAGTAGAAAAAGCAGTTTTGGGAATGTCTTTCATATCAACCTCTATTCGGTGGTACCCTGATGCAAGGTCTATTGTTGAGAAATATTTTGATTTTCCTAATTTATCTAGGATATCGGTTATATTTGGTAACGGGTATCGATCGTCTCCCGTTTTCTCATTTAACTTTCTAAAATCAATTACTAATCTTCACTTACGTTTTCTTGATGAGTCAATCTCTTTGGGAATAACCCATATTGGACTGGACCAGGGAAATGTTGAATTTTGAATGCTACCTTGCTCTAACATTTTAGTAATTTGAGATTTTACTTCCTGTTTGTAAATTTCAGGGAATCTATAACTTTTTGTAAATATTGGTGTTTCGTCAGTAGTATTTATTTTATGACAAATTTGGTTTGTAAAGTTTAAGGGAATATCTTCGCTATAGAATATATCACGGAATTTAAAACCAAGATTTCTGTATTCTTTTCTTCTTTATTGCAATGTTCCAGTAGTCTTTACTGACAGAAATGTAATTGTAATAATTTAAGAAATATTAATTTTATACTGTCGCTCGAAAAAAGGTTGGGTGCCAAAGGCTTTGCTACATTCAGCAGAAAAGATTAAGACTGCTCATTAGGACATGACCATAAAATATATCCTATCCAAAACAACAGAATATATTCATATATTCTGTGTTTCAATTTCCTTTCTACTGCCCTGACCGGTCGTGTAGTAAATAGACTTTAATTATAGAGTTGAACTTTTGGAATTACATGCAAATTTATTAAATATTATGCGCCAATGGATTACTTAAATCCAAACCTATTTGTAATACAGATTTTAGAAGGCAAACGTTGATATCGCCGAATAAGTTTATGGCTTAGTGCATAACTTGTCAATTTTTTATTCAATTACCGATGTAAGCACTTTTCCACTTTTGCAAATTTATAACGTTAGCGCTCTGAAATTAAAGGTAATTGGCAATGTGTTCGGCCATTAAAGCTGGATAGTAGCATGGTGACCTACGCCGGACATTACGAAGGAATGTTAGGAAGGAGCACTTTTTTTCGTACAGTTAATAATTAAAAATTTTGCCATTTGGTAAGAACTTCCGAACACACGCTATATTTCATAACTGAAAATGGAGAAAAATGATTTTAAAGATTTTAAAAACTAGTCGACGGCATAATCTAGTATCATTTCCCTTGTCATTTGAAAATAAGGTTCATTTCATTTGTCGCTTTTCACAGTCTATCGAACACAAGGATTTTGATGAGTTACAAATATGAACGTTAAGTTTTCGTTGGTAAGCGATAAATCGGCCCCGCTTGTTAAGTGTCTCCTCGTAGCAGTCGCGGCGGCCTTGCCTTCATATTCGTTTGTTTCTCTTCCGGAAGACTTTTAGGAAGGAAGCCGGCATTGAGAAATGTAGGTTACTGTCACTTAAAAGGACGGTACTTTTATTTATCCAAATCGAAAAAGAATTCGCTATGCGTATTTGAAACGAAGGTCCAATTGCGGTCGCAGTAAACACATCTTCGGGTTGCGTGCGTTTTTTGCTTGACAATTTTTTAACTCCGAAACACTCGAAAAAAATCCCTATTGAGGTTTGATCATTAAAATATGACTACGTCGGATATTGACAAAGGAATAAATCTTCTCAATAGGATTTTCAAGTCTTCGTATGTTGGTATGCTTATTCATTATTTCCATATTTTAAATTTTAAATAAGCGAAAATTGCAAAGGCAAAGGGAAAATAGATATTAAAGCGGCTGTTTACCGTCTGTATGGATGTATTTTCTTTCTAGAAGCATATCGTCTCATTGAATCATCAGGGGCGCCTTTTAAAGTGTTTTGAAATTATAAGGATTAAATGTTACATTAACATTACAATACTTATAAAGTCACATTAATACTAAGAGAAAATACTTGATACAAATGCTCTATGGGGTTGAATATACAATGACATGGAGGAAGACGTGAAGCAGTATCACAGCAGCCAGCAGACTATTACATATACAGTGAACGACTAAAATATTTTAACGTGGATGGATGGATTTCAAGAAAAATGCTCGCACACGTCCACCATAAATTTATAATTATTATTATTGTGGAATTCTGTATCAAATTATCTCTTACTTTTTATTTCTAAAAGAATAAAAAACATAAATTTTGAGTAAGTAGCAAGTAACAGTAAAGTTCTTCAAGTATTGTCACGGTTACATTTCTGTCAGTAAAGACAGTGAACATGGCGCATCTAAATGAAACCCAGAGAATTGAATTTTTAATTTTTATTATATATGGAGACAAAACGAAAACTCAAGATGTTTATAATTTTTTTTAACGCCAACTATATAGAAATATAGAAGGTTCGTAGATCTTGAATAATACACCACTTTACTGTATTTGGGCAATATATTAATAATAAAACTGTTAAATATTTTACATGACACGTTTACGTTTACATCCGTTGTCACAGTTTCGACATATATTCAACTATTTTTTTTGCCAACTAGGTTAAACAAGCTAAACAAAACTAAACGTTATTACAGAATTGTACCTAATAATACAGATTCCTGCAATAAGAAAGACCCATTACAAGATCCACATTGAGTAACATTAAGAAAAATTGTATGGCAACAGTACATGTAAAAGATCGTCTATGGCTAGGTTGTATATACATTTCAGTCCGGTAAGTTATGAAAATGCTGGTTTTGACTATAATCTGCTCGAAGTCAAGAGGGAAAACGAATTATTTGTCCAGAAAGAGCGGTTTTAAGTTCATATCTGCATTTTTAAAGTAGGTTTCGGTGCAATAAGACGCGAAAAAGCAGATTGCGACTGGGAACTTATCGAAATCGGCAACTATTTGATCCAGAAAAAGAAGTCAAAAAGCAGATTCTGACTGGAAGTAGGTTTTTCCTCTTCATTCCAAACAGATTGCAGTCAAAATTATCATTTTCTGTTCCAACCAGTTTCCTTCGGTATCTTCGGCACTTATTGTAACGGACAAATAAACCAGTAGATACCGACATAAAACCGCCCTTTCTAGGTAAAATAGTTGTCGATTTCGATTAGATTTCTGTCAGAATCTGCTTTTTCGCCTCTTATTGTCTCGAAATCTGGCTTAAAAATGCAGATACGAACTTAAAACATCTCTTTCTGGGAAAAAATAATTGGCTTTCCATCTTGATTTCGAGCACATTATGGTCAAAGCTAGCATTTTCATAACTTACCGGACTGAAATCTACATAAAAGCTGCAGATAACTACTTAAAAACCCACTTTGTTGGATTGATAGTGGGTTTTTCTTCTTCAAAACCGCATCAAAACTGCAGATATCAGCTCAAACTATCACTTTTTGTTTAAAACAGTTACCATTTCATTTCAATATTATTGAAATACTAGTCAACATGCCGATCTTCGGCCTTTATTGTAACGAAAACATTAATAAACCAGTAGCAATCGACGTAAAACCGTCCTTTCTGGGTCAAATAGTTTCCGATTTCGATTAAATTGAATTCAAAATCTGCTTTCTGGGACAAATAATTGGTCTTCCCGCTCAATTTCGAGCAGAATATTGTCCAAGTCAGCATTTTCATAACTTACCGGACTGAAATCTACATTAAAGCTGCAGATAACTACTTAAAAACTGGTTTGTTGATGTGTTCACTAAGGTAAAGATACAAAATGTCGATTTTGATTGCTATTTTATCCGTATTGATATAGAAAGGTAACTGTCCGATCTCAAAACTCGAACTCTAAATTTGCCGCAACGGTGCGACTGTATGCGCATGCGCGGTAGTTGTGCGTATCACGCCACCCGTGGCGAGAAAAACAATATGCGTTTGAGTATGTAGCCGTAAGGAGCATGAGTATGTATTCGTAAGGCATATGTACGAGTGTCTGTAACAACAATAAATGTTCAGTTCACTTTTGAAGTATTCAATCAATCAATGGTCCTTCACCAGCGCAACTAGGTGGTTAATGGCGAGTGCGTAAATTAGTACGTGCACCATAAGACCCCACATTTTTGGTCCTTCGAGCCGTATGCAGCACAATTTTGGTTCTTCGAGCCGTATACAGCACATTTTCAATTTTGGAGAATTCAAAGCAACACAAGCTACCAGCAACAGCAAGCAATTCAGGATTTTGCCCCGACAGAGGCTTACAAAAACGAAAGAGAATTTATTCCACGCATTTCCCAATCGAATTTTTCCATTCCATGCACAGATTCTATTTGGCAAAACATTGTCATTTAGTTTTTAAACATTCATTTGTACAAGCGATTCATAACGCGTTGAAACAGAAAACCTATTCATTGAGTTTACGCTCAAATTCAAATTGTTACGAGGAGTGACGGGCGGCGGCGGCGTAGTTCAAAGACGCGGTTAGCATCAGACGAAATTTTTACGGGCTTATTATCACTAACTTCATTTTTTTTGTCGTTTTGATCAATTGGATTCTTATTATTCATCATGGCCGATGAGGATAATATGAAACGGTTGAAGGCAAAGCGAAAACAATTGAAAGGTAACTTAACGCGTTTCGATAATTTCATAAACGAGAGTGCAAACCAAGATAAATACATGGAGATCATGACTCGCATGGAAAACACGGAAACGGTGTTTAAAGCTTTCAATGAAGTTCAGTCGGAAATTGAAATATTCGATTCTTCGGACGCCCAAATGCAAGTGAGAACGGAGTTCGAGGATAAATATTTTAATGTTATTTCACAAGCCAAACAAATTGTTGAAAATTTCAGTCATCGACAGCAAGAAAGATTAAATCAAGTTTCATTTGCACAGCCTTCGGCGACTGTTCGCACAAATCAACAAATTAATTATCAATTACCTCCGATAACGTTGCTCAATTTTGACGGCAGTTATGATAATTGGGAAACGTTTCGAGATGCGTTCATTTCTTTGGTACACAGTAACAATAGCTTAGTAAACATTCAAAAATTTCACTACTTGCGATCTGTTTTGAAAAACGACGCGATTAAAGTGATCGACTTTTTAGAAATAATTGATTCTAATTACACGGTAGCTGGAATTTACTTAACGATCGTTTCGAAAACAAAAAGGGCGCTATCAAAGGTCACATCAGACACATTTTTGAGCTCACAAACGTAACAAAAGATTCACATAGCTCTCTGCGTACATTTTTAGACAACGTACAAAAACATTACCGTGCGTTAAAAGATTTTGACGAGCCTGTAGATCCATGGAGCACCATTTTAATCTATTTACTTTGCTCAAAATTAGAAATTCACACCAAACGAGAATGGGAAGCCAAAACATTTGACAAAGTATCACCCACAATCAAAGACTTTTTAGATTTTTTGACCTCACGTTGCCAGATCTTAGAATCTGTAGACACAAAAACATTAGATCAAAACTCGGGGAAAAAACATTTTTTCAACAACAAAACGCACGCTCACATAGCTACTAACAAACCAATTTGTTTGAAGAACACTACATTTTTTGTTGTAAGGATTTCTTAAAATTGTCTCCCTCTTCAAGGCTAAATGAAATTAAAAGGTTAAATGCTTGTAGTAATTGTCTACGATGGGGTCATAACAGTCGGGAGTGCAGGGGGGGTAGTGCTTGCAAAACTTGCAATAAAAACACAACACTCTATTACACTTTGGTAAGCAAACATCAAATGTGTCAAGTGAAACACTATCAAAAAACAAAGCGAACCAAGTTGGAGCAACTAATTCAAACATTTCAAACAAGTGTCCGCATCAAATGACAAAGAATCAGTTATCGTTTCACATTGCAAAAATTCCGAAAATTGTCAAAATAACGGCTTGACGTTGTTATCAACTGTCCAAGTTTATATTTACAACAAAGAAAACCAGCCGGTTATTTGTAAAGCGTTACTTGACAGCGGTTCGCAAGCAAATTTTATAACTCGGCGGCTATTTTACGATTTAAAATTACATTCCTACAAAATAAACATGCCTGTGGTAGGGATTAATTCAGCAAAAATTAACATATCACAATCGGTGAGAACAAAAATTAAATCGACAGTTTCAGAGTCTCAATTTCAATTAGAATTTTTAGTAATTGATAAAATTACGGACAAAATACCACAGTATTCTTTTGATTTATCTGTGCTTAATATTCCTTTAGAATATAAGCTCGCTCACTCCGACTTTGATCGAGCCTCAGAAATTGACATGCTGCTAGGAGCTAACATTTTTTACAACCTATTGCTTTCCGAGCAAGTGAAGCTGGGTCGTAACCTTGCAATTTTCCAGAATTCAAAACTTGGTTGTATTTTAGCGGGATCGTTTAATATTTACGAACAGCACAAATCATTTTGCAATTTTGTTTCAAATTCTGAGATGTCTCAAATCGATGAGCAATTACAGGCATTTTGGCGTATTGAGGAATGCATTACAAAACAAGTCACATTAACAAAGGAAGAATCTGAATGTGTGCAGCACTTTTCGGAAACATTTAAGCGTACGGAAGCAGGATAATTTGTAGTAAGTTTACCATTTAAAAACAATCTGAAACAATTAGGCGATTCCAGAGAAATTGCGCTACAAAGATTTCAAAGTTTGGAAAGAAAACTTGCAAAAAATTCAACATTAAGTGAGCAATATTCCAAATTTATGAAAGAATACATTGATTTAAATCACATGACAGAATTAAAACCAAATTAAAATCCATTAAATGACACTTACTATTTACCACATCATTGTGTAATTAAAGAAACATCGATTACTACAAAACTACGTATTGTATTCGATGCATCCGCTAAAACTACGTCTGGTTATTCTCTCAATGATGTACTTAAAGTCGGTCCAGTAATTCAAGATTCTCTTTTATCTATCTTGCTTAGGTTTCGAACTCACAATGTAGTTTTTACGGCCTATATAGCTAAAATGTACAGGTGTGCATGCAAGAAAATGATCGAAATTATCAACGTGTTTTTTGGAGATTTAATCCTTGTGAATCGTTAAAGGAATTTAATCTAAATACTTTAACCTACGGCACATCACCAGCTAGCTTTTTGGCTACACGTTGCCTCAAACAATTAGCAGTAGAAAATATTGCAGGCGTCCCAGACGCAGCTAACTCCATTTTGTCCGATTTCTATATAGATGATTGGCTCTCCGGCGCAAATGATTTAGAATCAGCCTTACAATTAATAAGGCAAGTTACTTCTATTTTAAAGAACGCAGGTTTCATATTGGGGCAGTGGAAATCAAGCGACATTCGTGTATTAGAACATTTAGAGAATAAATGCGACACAAATACTAAGTACATTATTAATGACGATGAAAATTCAAAAACTTTAGGAATATCCTGGAATTCTTGTTACGACGAATTTTGTATTACCATAAGTAAAAAAAAAGGTATTTCGATATTTATCAAGCGAACGATACTTTCAGTTGTTAGTCAAATATTTGATCCTTTGGGTTTGTTGAGTTCAAAATTATGTAAATTTCTTTTTAATTTTGTGTATCTTAAACATGCCGGACATTTCAGTCAATGTGACAACAAGGCGTTGTACGCCAAACCGGCAAGGTCTACATTTCTGCTAGACTAGTAACGATTTTGTAGCGTTACGGGGTAGACGTGCACAGCATGGGTCGCAACGTCGCCGCAATGTGAGATACAGTCCATTTATAGAAAAGAAAAATTCAATAAATATTAAGTGATTGAGGAAACGCTTGTATTATTGAAGAAACAGGGTTTAATAGGCCCAGTTATTACAAAGGCAAATATTTTTCTTCAAAAAATTTGGAAATATCAATTAAATTGGGACGACAATATTCCACCAATTTTAAATAGCGAGTGGATTGAATTTTACAAAAAATTTGACAGTCTTAGAGATTTAAAAATTGCACGACATAACCCCACAGAGATCGAGATACATTGCTTTTGTGATGCGTCACAACTCGCATACGGAGCTTGCGTGTATTTTAGATCAAAAAACTGGTCAGGAGAAACACTAGTAAGGTTAATTTCATCAAAATCGCGAGTGGCACCTGTTAAAACCATTACACTACCACGTTTGGAACTTTGCGGAGCTTTTCTAGCTGCAAAATTATATCAAAATGTTAAAAATACAGTTCGAGTTAAAATTAATCAAATATATTTTTGGTGCTCTTCCACTATAACATTAGCATGGATAGCATCTGACCCAAGTAAATTAAAAAAATTCGTGTCGAATCGGGTAGCACAGATTCAAGATCTCTCCAAGCAAAACAATTGGTTCCACATACCTAGAAAATCTAACCCCGCAGATATCATTTCAAGAGGTATCAATCCGAACGAAATAGGAAATAATACATTGTAGTTTAACGGGCCTACGTGGTTATCGCATGAAAGGGAGCAAACATTGATGAAACTAAAATACCCGACATAAAGTCAACTATTATCACCTCTTTAATATGCACTGAATTTGATGATAATTTAATCACTTGGTTTTCTTCTATAAAAAGGCTCACACGTGTTGTTGCTTACATGCTAAGATTTTGAAATAATGCTCGTAAATTAGGTAATTCAAAACTGACAACAGATCTAACCATAAAGGAACTCGACGAAGCCACACGGTTGATTGTCAGACTTATCCAAGCGAAAGTTTTTAACTTGGAAATTGAATCACTGAAAAAAACACAAACCAATATCTCCAAAGAGTAAGTTAAGTTCTCTAGATCCATTTTTAGATGAATTCGGAATTATTCGCGTAGGTGGGCGATTAAAAAATTGATTGTTATCATTTGAAAATAAGTATCCTATGGTTATTCCCACGAAACATCACTTTACTAATTTGAGTATTAGAAATGCGCACTTATTAACATTTCACGGTGGAGCTCAAACAGTTTTATCCTATATTAGACGTTATTATTGGCCATTATCGGACAGGAGAGCTGTACGTAGTGAAATTCGAAAATGTGTTACATGTTTCCGCGCGTCACCAACTTTTTCAAAAAATGGGCAATTTGCCAACCAGTAGAGTTACACCTTCGCGACCTTTCTCAATTTGCGGCGTCGATTATGCTGGTCCATATTTAATAAGGGATAGCAAACTTAGAAACAAGAAATTGATAAAATCGTATTTATGT